GTGTGTGTGTGTGTGTGTGTGTGTGTGTGTGTGTGTGTGTGTGTGTGTGTGTGTGTGTGTGTGTGTGTGTGTGTGTGCGTGCGCGTGCACATGTGTGTGTATGAGCATGTTAAAGATTGGGTTTTGACCTTAACTCTAGCTTAACTCAGAGGAACTGCACAGGAATGCAGTAACTTCAATATCCCTATAAAAACCGAGACAGCTGCTTTGGATCTTTTAACATTACAGTATTTGTGCGATCAGCACTCGGGTTCCTCCTTCTTTTCTTTAAAAGCTTAAAAGAATCACAATATGTGCTATAAGCAGTGCAGTGAAACAATCAATCATAGCTGGCCCGAGATAAGACCATGGTAATCATCAAGCTAAAAAAAAGTGCTTGTATCGTTTTTAGCATTTGTTTAAAATGTATAAAAAATGTGATTTGGTATTGGATTAATGAGGTTCATGTTAGAAATCTTGAAACATGGATTATGTGCAAAAACTGTCCGTCCTCACCATGCCTATCGACTGAGAAAACTGGGATCTAAAACACAAAATGTACTATTTCTCTTGTAGCCCAGAGTGTGTGGGTAATATGCTCATACTCTGTGTATAATGTTTGTTCTTTTCCTCCTGGGGACATGAATGAGAGCAAAAAGTCTTAAGTAGTCTGTCACTTCCAATTACTTTAACTCTGAACCGATGCCAAATTGGATAACTTTACGATTCAGACCACAATACTGTGGATAAATTGTCCATCGGTGAATTAGTGTGAGACATGGTAAGAGTGTTAACCAGTTTCTTTCATCACTTTCTCCAATGTAATTCAAGAAATGTTATTGACCCCAGAATCAACTTAAAAATAAGTGGTGGGTTAGTTACTTTTGAAATGGGAAACAGAAAGAGAAGGAAACAGTGAAGGAAAGAGGTGACAAGCTGCTTTGAGTGATGAAATAACCCGACAAACTGCTGAAGTAGCGTTACACAGACAATTGTCAGTCATTGTTGCAAAATTACAGTGATGCGTCTTTCAGTACTCATGGTAAGTACTTTGAATTGCTGCTTTCTGAAATATTCCAGGAATTTATTGACCGTATCTGATGAAATCCATTACAGTGGTCATAACCTTACAATGCCCTTAAAATTTAAAGCACAGATTCATCTGGGTGGTTTGCGGACATGGAGAAGATTAAGAGTTTTCCTACTTGCTCTATTCTTGGAAATAAACAAGTGCAAAGGCAGCCCCACATCCCTGAGGAACACGCTGACATTTAGAGGATGTCCACATCGCAGATTTGAAAATAGAAGCGAAGAAAATTAATTTCTCCCAATGCAGTTTTTAAAAACCTTGTGTGGTCCGCCCATCACAAACAAACAGAAACTAAAATGATGTCCTTTATGGACAAAAGGTTGTGGAACAATTAAAAGTATCTTGTCAAACTTAGAAAGAGAAAGAGGAGGAAATGCAGTGTGTCTGAGCCAAGGCAAATGCTGGCTGTGCCTTCCAGAGTGGAGCCTTTAATGGGAATTCATCAAAGGTGACAGGGTCGGGAGAAAACAACCCTTTCAAGCCTTATGACGAATGGCAGTCCCCAAATACACCCATTCTTCAGATCGATCTATGGTTAACTCAGGGTTTAAAACAACATTACTGTGCAGTAGAAAGGAAATGGTCAATACTGCCTCTGACCCCTAACAAGAAATACACAAGACTGGAACTTTCTACAGCACGATGACTAAGGGGGAATTTGAGAAGCCAGAGAGATGCATGATAAACTACAGAGATATTTGACCTGGCAGGACAGATGCAAAATAAATTACTTTTTCCATTTAAATAAACATCTGCGTTCAAGCTATTGGATCTGAACATAGGTTACAAGGCAGTTTCTGTTTTTTCAAAACAAGAGCACTGCTGATTTAAAATGATTTATTAACATTTTTGAAATATTAGTAATCAGCAGTGCAGTAGCTTTGTTATAGCATTTAACAGCAGCAGAGAAATGCCAAAGAGCAGCAGGTGTTAGTTTGATGTGCTGAGAGTGGCACAGAAAAACCCAAATCCCTGCTTATTTCTAAATATGCTGGTTTCTGTTAAACAGGAAGGGTACACATGGAACTGTTTGTTCCTTACCTCAAATTACTTTTTTCTTCTTAAAGAGAACACCAAGCTATGTTTTATAAAGCTTGTACACTTGTTTTAATTAGCCCATATCAACTCCAAGCACTCTTCAAAGCGTGGTATATCAGACTGGAGATAAGAAACAGAGAAGAAAGGTCTGCGGGAGAATGTGCAGTTCTACAGGTCACGTGTCAGCCTCAACACTTGTCCAGTGATATTTTAAACACCCACTGGTTTCTTCTTATTGGCCATTTTTATTCATTTGAAAAGCTTCAGTAGGTGAGCCTCTGTGAAATGCAAAAAGGAAATCCACTCACTTCCCACTTTTTTAGGTACACCTTGATAGTTACAATAGGGGCTCAGCCCCCCTTTTTCCACCAGAACTGCCTAAATTCTTCGTGGCATGGATTCAACAAAGTGTTGGAAACATTCTTCAGCAATCTTGGTCCATATTCACATGACAGTTGCTGCAGATTTGTCAGCTGCACATCCACGATGCAAATCTCTCATTCCACCACATCCCAAAGGTGCTTTATTAGACTCAGATCTGGTGACTGTGGAAGTCATTTGAGTACAGTGAACTCATTTTCAAACTCAAGAAACCAGTTTCAGATGATCTGAGCTTTATGAGAGCATTGTATGATTCACTGTACACTGTCAGGGATAAAGGGATAGGCATGGGCAGCAACAATACTCAGATGTTTAAATGATGCTAGGTTGGTACTAAGTGGCCTGAAATGTCTCAAGAAAACACCACCTACAATAGCCTTAATTGCAGATACAAAACAGGATGCAGCCATACTTTCATGTTGCCCACGCCAAATTCTGACCCTACCATCAGAATGTAAGAGCACAAATTTTGTAGACAAGGCAACGTTTTTACAAACCTCTGTTGTCCAGTTTTGGTGAATCTGCTTGAAATGCAACCTCAGTTTAGTGTGAGTTTAGCGTTCTTAGCTAACAGGAGTAGCAGCCGATGTTGTTTTCTGCTGCTGTAGCCCGTCTTTTCTTCCTATCTTGGTTGTAACAAGTGGTTATTTGAGTCACTGTTGCTTATCTATCAGCTCGAAGCAGTCTGGCCATACTTCTCTGACCTCTCGCTCATCAGCATGGTATGTTTGCCGGAGAAGTATTGCTAAATGGATATTTTCTCTTTTTTGGAACATTCTCTTTAAACCCTGGACATTGGTGTGCAGAAAATTCCAGTAGATCAGCAGTTTCTCAAGTACTCAGACCAGCACATCTGTCAGCAACAACAGCACCACACTTAAATGACTTTTTTCCTCATTCTGATGCCCAGTTTGAACTTTAACAGGTCATCTTGACCACGGCACATGCTTAAATGATTGAGTTGCTGCCATGTGGTTGGCTCATTAGATATTTGCATTAATAAGCAGCTTAACAAGTATATCTAACAAAACTCAACCAAGATAAATGCTTTCAAAAAAAAGAATGTCTTTAAAATGCATTTCTGAAAGCTTTATTAATCTCAATAAAGTCAATAAATTACACAGATCATTAACACTAGTTTTTTTCTCATTACACGACTCCACTAGTAAAGACACAAATACATGATTTAATTGTAAAACGAAATGAAACATTAAGCAAATTGAGCACTGCAGTTTTTAGCTTGTAGCTATTTTCAGCAGCATAATAACACGTCATCCACCAACAAGAAACAGGGTGGTATGCGTGTGATTAATGAACAGCAACAAATGTCAGCACTCTTGTTCATTACAACATGTTAGTCTGCATTTTCTTTACGAGTTGTGGGACAATGAAGCATTAAGGCACAGAAAGAAAAAAAAACATTTTTAATGATATCCAACGACAAGAAGAGTTTGAATTGTTTTGTTGCTACTCTTGGTGATCTGTTAAAGAACAACTATAAATAAAGGCACTTTATTCACATGTTTGTATTTGTAATCTCTACTTTCAAAAAGGTAAATGAGCCTTGTGCAAGCCACCAAAGATAATGATACTGACCTTGCATAAAGCATTGATTAAAACGTCTGGCCATAAGATGACTACATGACCTACATCTCACTCTGGGACATATCTGTGACTCAGAAGGTTAAAATTCTGTTAAGAGTGGTTTGTGTCACTTTATGGGAATGTATAAGTACA